TTGTTGTGTTGTTGTTATTTATAATTTATATAATTAACCTCCTTGTGGTTCCACCTTAGTCTTGCCAGGTTATTTATTACTTCCACACTCCTGCACTTGAAAGAAAACATCAATCTTTTGGTCGTGTCAAGGGATAAATGACAGGACATTTTAAAGACTTTTATACATCTAAGGGTGTAAAGAGATGAGTACACTTAACCTTAACATTTTATATTGAGGGTCATGATAAAAAAAAAATCTTGTGGCTCAATAAAGGGTTTATGAAGATCATCAGTCTTAGATCTGTTTAGGCTCGACGGGATGTTGAGCCCAAGAATTTTAGGTCTAGTAGCCTACCAAAACTACATGTACTTGGACTCAGCACGGGACTCAGCACATATCCGAGCCTAAGGATGTTAAGTCTGGTAGACCCAATATATATGGACTCAACATGTATTTGAGCCTAGAAATGTTGGATCTGGCAGCCTGTCATACCTACATGTATGAGCACTCAACACGTAGTTGAGTCCAAGAAATTTGAGGTCGGTGTGTTTCAAGCACACTACCTAGACCCAAACACATTGGATCCGAACATGAAAGCTTGAGCCTACAAGAGATGAAAGTGGATATGAGCATGTTACCTGAACCTAAAACACGCTAGGCTTGGGTGTCACAGCTTCAGCCCACGAGAAATGAAAATGGGTCCAAGTGTGCTGCCTAGACCCAAACACTCTAGGCTCAAGCTTGACAATCTAAACCCATGAAAGGTAAAAATAGATTTGGATATGCTACCTAAACCTAAACATGTTAAGCTTAGGCTTGTCAACCCAAGCCCACGAGAGGTGACAATGGGTCCGAGCATGCTATTTGGACCCAAATACGCTAGGCTCAGGTGTGGCATCCTAAGTCTACAAGAGGTGAAAGTGGGTCTTGGTACTTTGTAGGACCCAAACATATTAGGCTCGGGTGTGATAATTGTATAAGGTGAAAATAGGTTTAAAAGCGCTACCTAGACCCAAATACGTTGGGCTCAAGCATGACAACCCAAGCCCACAAGGGGTGAAAATAAGTCCGAGCGCATTGTCTAAACCCAAACATGATGGGCTCAAGTATGATAGTTAGAGCTCTAGTTGGGTGTACGTCTATTTATCGAGTGTACATGAACTGGCAGACATCTAGTACACTATATTGCACCCATGCATTGGTTGTCTATATGCCCATGCATGGAGCATAGGCCCGGGCTACTTACCTGAGCCTATATTCCTAGTACGTGGGCTTAAACTCTAATTAGTACTTAAAAGTATATTTTTATCAAGTTTTTATATCATTATTTTGCACTTAACTAGAGCATGTTTTATAATAACATATCTAATAATATAAGATACCTTTAATTTATGAT